GGTTGGGGTGGGGTGGGGAAAGCATTTGGGTGAAGCATGTAGCAGAGTTTGAGCCCCAGAAGAGAGCGCTGAGTAGGGAGGGACAAAATAGAGGAAAAGGAAATGAGAGTAAATCCAAACACAAAAATGTGGCCTTTACCAAACCCATGTTGAAGGCCAAAGGAGATAAAAGAAATCTGAGTGGATTTTATTATTTACAAGACCCCTAAAAGCACCCAAATGGATGCAGGATGGTAAAAAGAACCACAATCCCACAAACAAGCTGAGTGAAAGGGCACCAAATACTAAAGAGGCCAAGATGTGACAACCGGACAGATTATTTTGATCTGGAATTTAAATCTGTTTAAAGTTAACTAAACAATGTTACCTATGCCTGTACACAGAAGGCAGAATTAATTACATAATTAACCTCACTCTCTAACAAGAACAGTGGATAAGGTAAGAAACGGGATATAGTAAGTCAAAGCTGGAATAGAATGAACGTGTTCTGGTGGAGTCGCCACCCCAATCCTTCCTGCGGGTGGTGACTGAAAAAGAAAGTAGCACCAAATGTCATAAGCCATCCCCTCTTCTAACGTTTATACAGTCATAGAGTAAAACATATTCATATCACAATTTCTTAAAATGTGGACTGTCAGTAGCATATATAACTTAGATGACCTAAACTGAGAGAACAACAGTTGCATGATTTTTACTGGCCCTGCCAATGGTGCATTCAAGACATTTTATAGTTGTCTTCTCTGCTCACCTTCTTTATTTCCCTACATGGTTCCACTGTCAATAGTCACCACCTCACTGCCAGGCCCTGGCTAGTCTCTGGCTTTTTCTGCCGTATGCCTTCCAGGTCAACAGGTCTTTTTCCATTGGTATCTCCAGTTTCTCATTTCAGAGGCACTCTCGCCTCCTTTTAGTATGGTCCAGTTCAGCTCCCATGTTCACCCAAACCAGGCTACGCTGCTCTCAATTCTCTCTCCCTTAGAAATGCAAGCTCCATCAGGACAGGCCTCACGTCTGTCTTGTCCCATTGTATGTCTCTGTTGCTTATAACTGTACCAGTACATAAGTAACCCTCAATGGAGATATTTACCAAGTTAATAAATGAGCGATGAATGCCTGAATGAGATTAGAATTTAAAGACATCGTCTCAGTTTCTTACAATTCAAATCTGTGCTTTCACACTGGACTGGCAAAGTCCTAAGGCACCCTGAAGGCCCTATGGGACTCATGAATTGAGTTTTCAACATTGATTTGGCCTGATCGTGCAGAGAGGTTTCCTACATGATTGCAAAAAAAACTGTTTGGTTATGGAGACCACCAAAAACTGCTGGACCACAGGTGCAAGGCCACAGCACAAATATGCTGAAATATCCCCACTCTTCAGCCTCCCTAGAGAAACTCATTCTGGCCAGTCCTTGTTAATCAACACGTCTGCATTTCTGCACACCCGCCAGCGGCTGTTTGAATCCCTACTGATTCTGTAGTTGAGGAGGAACCTAAGTGCTTTCGAAACATCAAATGTTCCATAGGGCAGTGATTACCATTCTCTACCTACACTCACAAAGTGAAGGTGCCTCCCTGGAGTTGGGCAGGACATTATGGATTCTTTTCCTGTCCCATACATTCATTGCTGACACATTCGTTGTTGTCCCTCCCTTTAGGAAATTATTAATTTTGTTGAAACAGCATAGGTATGTGGATAAATACAAGTTTTATTTTCTTATTCATACTCGTAATCACTGAGAATATTTATGACCCATTAAAGAAGAATTCTTAAGCTAAACTGTCTTAATAAGGAATTCAGATGTTCCTTTTATTGAAAAATACAGAGCTGTTCAAACTAAAATGGGGGCCAAGACGAATGCAGCATCTATATACACAAGAGTCGCAGAGTGTCCAGTGAACGGCATTAGCCGAAGCCAGACAAGCCGTCTCGTGTTTGTCTCCTTCACTCCAAATAATTCTTTGACACTTTTTCCTTCCACTTTTCGACCTTATGATGCAGCTAAAGGTCGAGGGACTTACAACCCCACTGCTTTTCCCCTTGTGTTCATGTAGGATAAAGCATGTTTCCTAAGAGCTGGGGGCCTCTCATCCTGTCTTCTCTTTCCCATGTTTAGTGAAAGGAAGCTCATGCAGTGCCGGGGAAAGGGAAGAGCCTCGTCCGGCAGCTCAGAGGCCAGGCGCGTGCCTCAGCCCGGGCACCAGCAGCGCCAGGAGCAAGGCAGCCGGAGGTGATCAGGGTCTGCTCCCCGGGCCCCCTGGCCAGGTGACAAGGCACCTCTGTGGCAAGTCGGTGTCTGACTTGCAGCCTTTAGTCCAGCTGTTTCTCCAGGACTAGGGTTACTCCATTAATCCAAATTAAAGGCATTCGGAAATACACTAAACTTTTTTTGGATACCAGAGGAGGGTGAAAATAAGGAAGGAGAAAGGAAAAAATGTTTTTAATTGGGATTATACTCCAGTCAGGGTCATGCTTTGCTTCTTTTTGCTTCTGTCATGACCATTTTCTCTTATCATTAGATATTCTTTCAAATAGGATTTATAATGATTTTCAACATTTCATATTTATTTCCTTGCAACCACACCCTATGAAATGGGTTCTATTATTATCTAAATTTTATAAACTTAGACATCGAGATGGAAGGTTAGCTTGCCTGATATTACACCTCAAGAAAATAGCAGGGCTGGAATTTGAGGCCAGGCAGTCTGGAGCCTGCCACCTTCCTACTGTGATCTACAGCCTCTGTTTAATATGGTGCTGCCATAATTATATCTAATCATGCTCCCAATTCTGGACAGGTATGTGTGTGTATACACACACATAGATATATACACACACATATGTATTTGTGTAAATACATGTATATACACACCCATATATACATTATTTTTTTCTTTTTTTTTAACTGATGAGNCACACATAGATATATACACACACATATGTATTTGTGTAAATACATGTATATACACACCCATATATACATTATTTTTTTCTTTTTTTTTTTTTAACTGATGAANCACCCATATATACATTATTTTTTTCTTTTTTTTTAACTGATGAGCAGTACAACTTCAGATCCATGTTTAATTAAGACTGTTTATTAAATACCTTTTCATTCTTATTAAAGAAAGAAAAACAATGTTTTCCAGTGAAAAAGTATTCCTATCCAGTGATCTCATAGTTGTCTGAAAATATTGGCCATAAAAGGGGAAAAGCTTAAATTCCCTAGGACCCTTCCATACCTTCTTGATTTAGTATTTCTCAAATGTCAAAAACTGGTAAGTCTCATGCACAACACTATGTATAGCAGGAAGGTTCTTAAAAACAGTATGATTTATAAATAAATGCCCCCCTCCTCAAAAAAACACACACATAACAAACACGTAGATGCTATTTCTCATACTCAATTGGCAAAGACATTTTTGTTTTCAAAATTCTCAGCACTGGTAAAATTGTATGAAGTAGGTACTCTCATACACTGCCCCTGGAAATATAAACTGGTATGACTTTACTGCAAAGTAATTTGGCACCAAGTAGCAAAAATCTTAAAACTGGAAAACTCTTAAATTCAGCATTTACTGCTAAGAAAGTATCCTAAGGACCATGAATACTGGCAAATAACATAAAGTTATAAGAACTTTCTTGGTAGCATAAAATAAAAACAAATTAGAATCAAATTAAATGACCAGCTAAAAGGGATCAATTAAATGTATTTTAGGATATGGATTCAATGGTACACTAAACAATCATTAAAAATAATGTTGCAGATAAATATCTGTTGCTATGAAAAGCTGTCCATTATTACCTTAACAGGAAAAAAATGTTAGATGAAAGGTGACAGAATATATTATATTGTTCCCTGTTACCATCTGACTGGTTGCCTCCTACACAGGTCCCGACCGGGGAAGGGGATGGAGTTTGTAACTGAGGTACGAACCCTTGGCTGGAATCAAACCCAGGACCCTTCAGTCTGCGGGCTGACACTCTAACCATTGAGCCAAACGGGCTAGGGCAGAATTATCCCTTTCTTATCAGTGGCTTGTCATCCACCTTAATTAGTGATCTCAACATAAATAGGTATTATTTTCTTTCCCATAAGAAAGCAAGGGTCCCATTTTTATAAGAGAGACAAAAAATAAATAGGTGAAGTACCTGTGAACCTACAGATGCATGTTTATGTTAGTGTGTGTGTGTGTGTGTGTGTGTGTGTGTGTGTGTGTGTAGGAGAATAGATATGTATACATCCCCACCACTATCTTGGGGAACACTTTACAGTTAAATGATCATTATTTTTGGTTAAAGATTTTGGAAATATTTACCTGTACCATGTGCTTTCATCACAATGGAGAAACATAAGCAGTCGGCTCTCTCCCAGCAGGTCTTTTCACACGGATTTTGCTTGAGTAGAAAGGGTGGCAGTAGAAACAATGTAAAATGCCTAGACCTGTAAGTATAAAATAATATTCCCACTGAGTGAGGCAGCTTGCTGAGGGCTTCATTCACATTAACTGAAGTCAGAGGAAAAAGAAACACATTTGCATACCCCTCCCCCCATACATCTCTAGGGGTGAGAAGGTTCCAGCCAGGGGTGGCTTCCCATCCCACCTCTGACCTTAGGGACGTGGCCATCAAAATGAGCCTGTTCTTTCCCCTCCTTTCCTGCCTAATGGTTCCTAAACTTCAGAGAAATAAAAAATAGCTCTTCTCCAGAAAATTTCAGGAACATCACTGAATTTGATGCTAAGAATCCTTCTAGCCACAAAGTTAAGCAAATTCAGTATATGTATTTACTGTAACAGCCTGACTTTCACTTTCAAAACCTTACGTGCCTCTCCGTTGACAATTCAGGTAAAGAGTGGTATCATTGATATTCGAGGTCATCACTAACATTTATCGAACACTGACTTTGTTCTTGGCACTGTGCTAACACTTTACACACATTTCCCCACTCCATCACACCATTATTGATCAAAAACAGAGTCAGACAGCTAGTAGATGTCAAAGCCAGTATTTAAGCCAATATTGCTCAGAGGCCAGCTCATAATTCCAGTACTATACCATCACTCCAAAATTGATTTTGCTATCAACACTACTGTACTTACTATAAAAAAAGATCAACATTCTCTTATTTTCCCCAGAGTTGATATGTCACCTAAGTCTTAGCATTGCTCTTTTTGGATGTGACTTTCCCTTTTATTTTAATTCCCACGCCAAAAGAAAATCAACACGCTCATATCACACTTAAGGATAAATTTATGGTTATTTTAGTAAATTAAAAATGCCAACTAATCCCAAATCTGGGTGCCAACACAATAAGGAAAAACCCAAAATCCAAGTCCTACCTAAATGGCCAATTTTTATTAGGAAGAAGGCAGATAATAAAATCAACAGCCATATGTAAATCCCTAATTTAAGATACAAAAATAAAGAGATGAATTTCTATACATTATAATATATCTGTGGTGTAAAAAATACTTATTTACCTATTTACAAATTCTACATATTATGCATAGGTCTTTGAATCACTGCAACACAAAATAGATATGAGCATATCAGGAAACCAACGAAGTTATTAATGGGTCACATATTGATTTCCCTGTTGTACACCTGTACATAAGTAGGTATGATATACACTGTTCTGATTATGCCTCTGTGCCTTTGCACATGCCACACCCTGTGCTTAGCATAGTTTTCCACTGAGCTTAGATTTTGAGCCCAGCCCCCAGGCTCAGCATGGTCCAGCCCTCACACTTTTCCAGCCTGCACTCGGGCTTTCCTGCCTTGCTTTAAGTCCCTGAAAGCACCTGTTCTCCTGGGCCTCACTGCTAACACGTCTTCCCAAATCACCCACCTTCATCATCAAACGGTCGTGTGCTATTTTCTCGTTCAGCTCCCAGCTCTGCCCTGTTCCCTCAGGGGAGCGTTTCCCAGACTCCTTGTTCAGGTCACTATCTCCTCCTAGAAGCTTTTATAGAATCATTTTCCTGAGCTATACCGGTCACCTTTGAGGTTTTAACAGTTTTTTGTTAGATTCACTGATTGATGCTTGCTTCCCCCACTAATTAGTAAGCTCTAGGAAGGCGGAAGGCAGAATGTGTGCGAGCTTGTCTACCCTTCTATCCTCAATATTCAACACAAATGCCTGGCACATTATAGGCACTCAACAAAAACCTGCTGAATAAATAAGTGAGGGAGGGAGGGAGGGAAGAACAACCCTTATCATAATTAGTGTTTGTTAAATTAATCTGCTGATGGCTTCTCAAAACAAACCACAAGGTCTGTGTTCCTTCGAACAGCACGCAAGGCTCCTGTGACCTGACCTCAGGCAGCTATGTTGCTTGTCCAGCTGCCCTTGACCCTCAGCACCTCTGAATCACTGTGGCTCCCTGACCAATCCTGCGTTGCTCCCACTCATCTCCACACCCTGGTCTATTCCATTTCCTCTGACAGCATCTGNTCATCTCCACACCCTGGTCTATTCCATTCCCTCTGACAGCATCTGTTCAAACTAAAGTTCATTCTCCAAGTCTCAGAGTGAGGGCTGCTCCCCTGCGAAGACCCCTCCAATACCTTCTGGGAAGCTGATGTCCTCTTTTCCCATTTTTCTACAACTCTCTGTACTTATACCTATAAAAGCAATTATCATATTTTCTTGTACTTGTGTTTTAAGCAAGTCTCTCTCTCCCAATGCACTGGAAGTCCCTTAAAAGCAAGGGAGGGGTATTGCCTCATTAAACTGTCTCCAGAGTTTTGCATAGCAGCCTAGAAATAAATATTTGTTGAATGAACAAAAAAATAATTCACATATGTACATATATATAGATGTATCTGTCATACATATATATTTCATATGTGCAAAGCTGCACAGTTGACTATTTAAAATATATTAATATAGTATATTTTAATTATTATTAAATGTTATGAGGCATAACGGTTATAAATTCATTTGTAAACTGGGGACAACACCTACCTCACAGAGTAGTTGGGAAAATTAAATAATATATAAGTAAATTGTTTAGCACAGAGCCCAGCATACTGAAGGCACCTATAAATAGTAATTGTATAATCATCACTGTCAACATTATCTTCAGGACAACCATGTTGAATTTATAATTCATGCTTCAAATTTAACAGTTTTATTTGACAATATTTTTCCCCTATTAAAACATTAATTAGCATTAGCATCTCTGTAAAGCCATAAAAATGGCCAAAGAGGCACTCAGCAAACCAAGAATAAAGTCTTATTACTTCAGCTGAAGGACAGGTCATTTTTCCAGTAACCTTCAGTATATGTGTAGAGGCACACAGAAGATGTATTTCTGTTCAAAAATTATCTACAAAATCTAAATGATAGGAACACCAAATATTATCATTCAAATGGCATACACATTTAGCTTAAATTATGAGAAATGCTTACTGTAAATTATTTCTTTTGCTAAAAAAACAACAGAGATACATATTCATCTTTTTAATTATTGGACAGAGAATATAACTTTGTAAATATTATGTATTTGTCTAATTAATATGCCATAAAGTATTTGAATTAATAGCAAACACATTTCACATGTCCTCTATTAGGTGGTGCTGTTCTGATTTAAATTTGTTAAAATTTAATGAAATGAATTTATGCAGAGGGAGATAGAGGCGAGACAATTCTCCAACAGTATTTTTGGGGGATGGGGTGGGGATAATGTAAGAATGAATTGTTTACAAGTGCTACCAGTGCACAGTTGAGTGGAATGAACTGGTAGTAATTTACTCTACAAAGCAAACTTATCATTCGGTCCTAGATTGCCCTTTTTTACATAATGGCTGAATTTTAATAATGACTACAAAAGTATTTCATATACTATGTGTTACTAAAATATAAGGTACTGTCATTATTGCATTTTGAGATTTCTATTTTCAATTCATCTTTACCTCTCTGATAAGAGATAAACCCCAATCAAGTCAGATTTCTAACTGGAGCTTAACCATTTTCTAAGAAGTATTAGAGCTACAGAGGGGAAATATAAAAATGCTAAATTCTTAACTTCTGTTTTACTAGAACAGTATATCCCTTTTAAACTGAACTGTAATTTTATTCATTCACTACAACCATTGAGCAATTTATTGCACATATTCTCTGCAATATAATTAAAATGGAAAGGTAGGACAAATTTAGCCAAAAAAAGGTCTTTTTATTTAGATAATTTTATCAGAATTTACTAATAATCTCATTATCATGATGCTTGTGTTTGTGTCAAAAAAATCTAGTGAAATCTTACAAATATAAGGCAAAATTCCTCTATTTATGCTGATCCCTCAACCTGGAATGTTCTTCTTGCTCATTCAAGTGTTACTCTTCCTTTAAGACTCAGCTCAGATGTCATTTCCTCTGTGACATGCTCCCACATATATTGTCTTTGTCCTGCTATGTAATGATCTGTTTCCCTCTCTAGACTGCGAGCTCCTAAGAGTCACTGACCAGGTCTCTGCATTTTTCATAGCCACCTACACCATTCTTTGCACATAAAACATCCTCAGTAAATACTGGCTCGATGTGCCGATGAATCCTTACACTTTGATGCTTTTAAGTCTAAGGTGAAAATGCCACTCTTAACTGCCACTAATTATGATCTAAAGTTAAAGGTTAAAGCAAAAAAAAGTATTTCCATTCTTAGTGAAATGAAACTCTTAGCATTTTCACTTCCAGATGCATCAGCATTACATAAAAGATGTTGAAACCATTTCAGAAAATAGACATGCTGCACATTTTCCTGTCTGAGAATCAGTCTGAAAAATACCAGCTACACAGGGGCCTCTGGGTGTTCTCGTGACAAACAGCCAGTTGGGTATTGATTCCACACACTCATTTAATGGAAATCGAGACCAAGACTCAGGCTCCACACACCAGCACATCAGGCAGCCTCCTGCCCGGCTGCTCGGGACTAAGCCGATGAGTCCCAGGCGAGGGAGGAGTGTGGCCTCCCCCAAGGTACTGGCCAGCACTTCAGCGATGACGAATCTCAGGGGCGGCGAACTTCAGGGCTCAGGGAAGCACTCACCAGCGCCGGATGACGTTTGCCACTTTTATTGTCACTCTTATTCCCAGATGGACCACTTTCTCACGTATCCGCTTTTCATTTTTCAAAACCAAGCCTTTGAGCCTGTGACAACTTGCCTGGCCGAGTGACATATTACATCACCACCCACATGCCAAATCCTACCTCACTCAAAGGGCCAGAGAACAGTGGGCAGCCAAGGAGCAAGTTTCTCATGGTAACCTACCCGGGCTGACCGTCCACCTTCAAAACTGTTAGTCACTGTTGGGACAATAAATACGGATTTTCCAAGAGGTCACCAGGCCTTACTTCACGGTTCTTTCCTCCATGCCCCTGCCTTTCTAGGCACTCAGTAGGAAAGGGCATACAGAGCGCCCCTGGGTCCTCTATCTCATTCCGCTTAGCAGCCTCAGCCTCACTGGCACCCTCAGCCACCCAGGTGACCCAGGGACTTCCCCATCGACCGCACCTTCTGACCACTCCGGTGTAATGTCAACATACAGGGGACTTTGAAAGGGGACTATGATATGAAATAGGTAGAATGTGGAACAAAGAGGGAAAATCCTGGCTTATATTATCACCTTAAAAATATTTGTATTTTTTAAATGTAGTTTAAATCATGATGACTAGCTAACACTACTGTGTGGTATATATGAAAGTTGTTAAAAGAGTAAATCCTAAGAGTTATCATTACAAGAAAGAATATTTTTCTTTTTGGATCTACATGAGATGATGGATGTTGACTAAACTTACTGTGGTAATCATTTCATGACATATGTAAGTCAAATCATTAGGCTGTATACCCTAAACTTATACAGTGCTATAGGATACATATGTCAATAAAACTGAAATTTTTTTAATCCAGAAAAGTATATTTGTATTATGCAAAATTTGAAACCTACCCAAAGAATGCATACAACATATATAATATATATAATCTGTGAAGCATAACAATAAAATGAACACCTATAAACCTGCCATCCTATTAAGATATTACAGATATTGATGCATCTACCTATGTGCTACTTCCCTAACCACTCCCCCTGCTCTTCCCCAAAGGTGACCACAATCCTAAATTTTGAATATATTATTCCCTCAATATACAATGTAATTTTGTTTGATTTTGAACTTTATAATTTTATCATACTGCATGTTGTCTTCAGTGTCTAAAATTTAACTATGTTGTTGCAAGTAGCGATAGTTCACTCATTTTCACTGCTATATAATATTCCCTTGTGTGAATTTTTCAATATTCTACTGATGGATTTAAAAATTGTTTTACCTTCTAGGGCTGTTTTTTTCCCCATTAGAAACAATGGTGTTTCCATTAGAAATAATACAGATAAGCAAAGTTTCTCTGGGGTGCTGCCTGCGAGTGGATTGGCTGAGTCCCAGGATATGAATGGTCACACACATAGTACTGCTGAATCGTTTTCCGAAATGGCTATACCAATCTACACCCCTGCAGCAGTGCACCCATTCATCTTTTAAACTGTTAAATTGTTTTAAAATCAGGAGGACATCTAGTTGACCTAAAGGTGGTGTTTTTCATTGTACAGGTTCAAGTTACAAATATCGATAAAGAAATAAATGTTTTATACCTCTCTCACACATTGGTGAGTTGACACTTTGTTCCTCACAAAACAAATGAAAGCTACTTCCTAAGATAGGCCTATTTTTCTACCTTCAAATGAGGACATTAACTAATAACAGATTGGACTGAGGATAAATAATTTGAAGGCTCCACATGGCTTCATTTCCTAATCATTTAATTCTTAAGATGGCTACCAAAGGTGTCAACGTGTGCTCTAGAATATGTTAGGTCCCATGGACCAAAACTGCCTACTTGAAACAGGAAGTCATGTATCAACTTAAAATACACAAACTAAAACAAATCAAGAGAATTCTTTACTTCTTTCAATATTAGAGAAACAGAAGTATAGATAACTGAAATAAAGAAAAGCCTTATTAGCTTTTATTTTAGAACAGCAGAACCTAAAAATCTTTCTAATGAGGTTCTGACAAACTTAGGCTTAGAGGAAACAGCTTCTTTCTCCAAAAGACCAAGGTCAGAGCTTGAGGCTACTACACCTATAGCCCTGGCTCAAAGTCTGAGCTCCAAATCAGCCAGTTCTACATCTTTCCCCCTACCTACCCAAGGGGTCTGAGTGTAGAATTAGCAAATAAAGAGCATTGGGGGGGGGGAATACAGTGAACTAGTGGCAGAAGAACACCATAATAGTCACTGAAGTATACCAGGAGAAGAATTAGCCTAACTTCTTTAACTGACATAAACTGAGACTAGGGCAACAGTCAGTGAGACACAGTCAGTTTGGGCCAATATTGATAACAGTTTGCACTTTCTTCCCCACAGCCACTTATTAGTAGTAGTAATCACGAAATGAATTTTATATTATCCTGACCATGTTTTCACATTCTTTCTCTATTCTGGTCTCTTTCTTACTGGTGAACCCCAACAAGTAGGGCCTATGTCTGAAAGGCAGGCGGGGGGGG